ATTCGTTATATAATAATGTTCAAAAATATGATAACTCAGTATGTGGAAAATATATTGACCCTTCAGAAGTTTTCAAGAAAGCAAATGAAGAAGTTGATGTCACTTTTGATATGATTATTCCAGTAAATGATTTGTTAGCATTTCAGGCGTTCGATGATTATCCTAAATCATTTGGTGAAATCATTCTTAAATATTATGTTTTCAGGGATACTTTAGTATTTTGTCAGGTTGACCCGTTAAGAGTTGCTGATTTACAAAATTACGTTTATGAAAAGATAACTGATGAAAATTATGAAAAGATTATGAATCATGTTTATAAATATGATCGCAAATTCCAACAAATCGGACTTCCTGCCAAATTAATTACAAGCTTAGCCACTACATCTGCTGACGCAACAGTTGAAGACGTTATTATTTCATGCACAAAGATGGAAGTTTTAGAGGATAAATGCATTACACCAGGATATGGTTTAATTGAAGAATCAGTTAAAGCAATACCACGTTTATTTAGTAAGGAAGATCCATTCATGATTCCAGCTCAACATATTGACGTTCGTTCACTAAATGGAGGTTGCATCACTCCTGAAGGTATTAGCTCAGATTTCTCATACGCTCTTCATAATGTTACAGATGTTGTGTTAACATTTCCGAAGAATGCAATGCAAAGAACGGTTTTAGAAAATCCAATGCTTCGAGGTCTTCAGGTCACTATAGATTCCAGAAACTTCCCCGATCAAGCGATGACCACAGTGGGTGACATATTCTTTACACGTATGCTTCAAGCTTCTGATTTAGATGGAGTGAATGAATGCACAGAAGAATACGAGGACTCATTAACTAGACCACTGAATGATGATGATGGCGCACCATTAGCTAGAACATGGAAAGACCAAACTTCATTCTTATGCACTATTCCAGTTCAACGTGATGGAGCGGGTATATTCTTTGATGGATTAGAAACTTTCAACTCACAAGTTACAGTACAAGTGAAAGCTTATCCAATCATTCAGGGTGAAAATGACACTTACTGTTCAAAAGTGACAAATCCTCCTCAGGTTTGGTTTACTAGGACTACATATTGGACATGGACACCGGATGAAGGTTTGAAATATCATCCAACAGGTACACCACCACAGTATAGAAGTTCATATGATGAAATATTGATGAATAGAAATGTATAAAATTATAAATTTATTTTTGATTAAATGGATTTAAATTCTGAAGAATTAGCAGGAGTATATAATACATACGTAGATGATATGATTAATGAAGCATTGAGTGATAATAGAAATGCTCTATCTAAGGAAAAATTAATGAAAATTCCATATTCTGAATGTTACTTAAATTCAATCACTGCAGCAATTGGTAAACAAATAAAGGTAAAACATTAACGATATTAAACAAATTATCATTATTGCTAACACTTCCCCCCATTCACATGTGTTAATTTATATCAACCGTTCAGGTTCACCTTCAGATGATACATTTGAATCTTTAAAGCATTTAATCAAAATTCCAATTATTTATTTATCACAAGAAGAAGCAGAAGATTATTTAAAAAACTTTGTAATGTATAAAGAATTATATAATACAATCAAGAAGCAAGGATTAGAGGATAAAATTATTGATAAACAACGGGATGAATTATTTGAAACACTTTCTATTTCAAATTTTGATAGAGAATTTTTGCATTCACTCATTTTTCTAGATGATGCGGTGAAATCAAACTAATAACAAATGAGAAATCATATTTTAATCAGTTATTAACTCAATGTCGACACATTCAGTGTTCATTCTTCATGGCTGTTCAATACTTTAAAGCATTAAGCACAAACATTAAATCAAACCTGTCCACCCTTTTCATTTTCAGTGGTTTTAGTCGTCAACAGTTGAACGTTATGCTTTATCAAGTGAATTTACCAATGAGCATTAATGAACTTTACACACAATATCAACAATTAGGAGAACATGGAAAAATAATAGTTGATTTAAATAAAGGTTCCATTAAATTCGAATAACTTTTTATAATTAATTTTTATTTTTATTTATAATTAAACATGACAGAAATAGCAAATCTTCTACAGGTTCCATTAAAACAAGGAACAAACAAAAAGGGTGTATATAATAGAACTATGAAAGTTCCAGACGGAATGAAAGAATTAGTCCACATTGTTGCCGGTCTTCAAAAGGATGTTAAACAAATGAGAAACGTTTTAACATTACCAGAAGCTCAAGCATATGCCAAACGTCACGGACCAAATTGGGAAGCACACGAAGCAGACATTACGGGTCCAAATGGAAAACCTGATGGAATAAATGAAGTTTTCGTTACTGATGGTCAAGGAAATATTAAAGTCATAAATGGGTATAAATTAACAATGACGGATTATCCTAAACGTAAAGCATATAATGAACATTATCCTATGCAATTTGATGAAAATGGAAAAGCTGTTAAACAATACATTGGAGAAGGTGAAAATGGTCCAATTAATTCATACCGTCATAATCCATATTCTTACTTCAATGAAGAATTAAATGCTATTGAAGAGGGACCGGATGGATTACCACGATATGTTAATCAGTTTGATGGTCAATATGCAAATTTAAGACCTGAAATTCCAGCTAAGAAATTCTTTAAAGTTGCTTTATTCGATCCAGTGTTCAATGAACAGAAAGAAGCAATGAAAGCAGAATTTAAACCAATTCAAGTGGCAAGAATTTCTTCATCTTCACTTGCAGAAGCGTTCAAGGAATTGATAAAGAAACCACTTTATTCTCAACAAGGTTATAACTTTGATTTAATTAAAGAAAGTGATAGACGTAAATTAGAAAAATCAGATGGTTTTAAGAATGCATGTAATGAAATGATTAAAGATATTGTAAATGATAAAATAAGACTGGAAGAAACTCAAAGCAATATCAATAACATTATTGGTGCAGTTACAAAGAAAGTATAAGCAAACAATGATGAACCTTGGGATATTACCGTAACAACTAAATAAAACTTTAAATATATTTTTTCTTTTTTTATTCAATTATAAATGAGAAGACGTTTCACAAGTCAAAAGAACACTAACGCAAAAGCAGAGATTACGGTTGGTTATAACGTAAATGATGATAAATCACGAATTATTCAAAATGTTAAAGTTAATGTTAGTCCTGAATTAACAAGGTCAGCAACTCAACCAAATTTATTAACTCGTGACTTACCGAAGAATGAGGAGAATGAAGAAAACCATGAGAATGGAGACCCAATCATTTTATCTGAACCCGGTAAAGAACCTGTTGAAATTCCCACTTATCCAACATACCCCCCACCTCTTTCATCAAACATCGAGAACCCAGGAATCTACGATTACAGTCGCAATGCGCCATATAAAATAGACATTAATTCTGAATTAATGAAAATTTACCGTGATATCATAACTGATAATTATGATTCAATAATAAATTTAATTGACCAATCCGGTTTAATTATTTTACCTTATGAATCATTAATTCACATTATCGCCATTCTTTGTGATGTTCAAGATTCAGACGTGAAGATTCAATTTTTCATAGATGATGAGGTTTCATGCTGCGAACAGTTGCAAAAATAAATCCTATAAAGGATATTAGCACAATTAAGATATCAAAGAACGGAACAACAACTGAACTTCATTTAACATATAATGATATTTATAATAAAATAGTTGATGAATATAAAATATCACTTGAAAAATTCTTTGTTAAGGCTATTTAATATTCAAGCATTAACATTATCGAATAATAATCCTTTGAATCATAATCGATAATAATTGACCTTTCACCAGTTTCTATCGTTTGTTTTATTTCTTTTTGTTCCCCACTATCCGGATCGGTCATTGTAATTGTTTTTGTTATAGTATCAGCTTTATCTTTAACTTCAATCTTTTTTCCATCGGGATATTTAAACCAAAATTCCAAAAATTCGATATTGTCAATCTGTTCATATTTTAATCTATCAATTACATTTTTAATACCATCTGAAAATCTTATGAAATGGTCATTATATGGGTTTGATTGAACTAAATTTGAATGAAGTGAAATATAACCTGATGATGAATATGACATTGACTCATATTTTCTGAAAACACTGAAATTTATAACATGAATGAATTTCTTATTCGTTGATTTATGAATTCTTGAGGTAATCTTATTCTAGTTTTATTTATCACTGGAAAATAACGCTTTACCATATTTTTAATCGTAATAAAAAAATGTCAATTATCAATATTATTTCGAATAATAACTGTGAATTAAATTTAACAGTTAGCGGAATTTATAATGTTACTCTCGTTTCTGTGAGTGGTAAATTTAATCCCATTCTTTAGACCCTTCAGATTATATATCATTTATTAAAGATGACCATGAGCCGCATAGCGGCGGGGTCGTAGACCTAAAAAACGTATGATATGTATATAAATAATGTGATAACGAAATGGGATATTAACATGATTTTAAGTTATTTAAATGAATCATTTATCGTATGGTATGAAGAAAATTTTAAATCAAAACCTGATAAACTTTTTGAACTTGATGAAATAAATAATCTTATTAAATTTCCGCTGAAAATTAAATTTTGTACTCCTCATCTTCGTTCATTGTTGGGGATATTAAATTTTGAAAAAGATGTTGGGGATGTTTTGTATTCTGACACTGGGTCCAATTTCATTTTAATCAAATGTGATAAAGTTAATACCCCAATGAGATTTTCACATCAAACATTAGACCCTAACTCTTACCCATCAATACAAAACATTTTATCCATCAACTTAAACATATTTTCTTTATCATATCCGTTTCAATTATCCGGGAATTCATTTATTCTTCATTCAAAAGATTTATCAAATATTAAATTTAGAATAACTGACCTATTTGATTGTGATTTAGAATTTATGAATGAAATATTATGGCAATTTCAAATAGAAAAAATAGCTGATGAGATAACAGATTAAATATTTATTTTTAAATCGTAATAAATGATTAAACAACAGCAACCACAGACCATTACATACGCCATATATGCATATAATTCAAAGACGGCAGAACAAACGCAAATGTTGAAATATGGAGATTTGGAGATAGTATTGAAAAATGACCATTTCGAATTCGTTTGCAAAGGTGGTGCAGTGATATCAAATATAAAAGAAATTTTATTTATGAATTCAAAAATTAAAGGAATAACGGATGATATAACATCAATTCCACCAGAAGAACAAAGATATTACGCATTAAATGCATTTCCTAAAGTTTTGAAGATTGGAAGATTTAATTTAAATGAGGAATTCATAAAAGGTTTCCTAAATGACATAATGAAGAAAGCAGATAAGGAATATGTTAACGATGAGTTAAATAAGAAGGCAGATAAGGAATATGTTAACGATGAGTTAGCAAAGAAGGTAGATAAGGAATATGTTAACGATGAGTTAAATAAGAAGGCAGATAAGGAATATGTTAATGAAAAAGATAATGAAATTATAGAAAGGGTTGAATGGTATCATGAACGGACATTGAAGATTTTAGAAGGTAAAGCCAATACAGGGTGGGTTTCAGGATGTTTAGACCTTAAAGCGGATAAAACTTATGTTAACGATGAGTTAAATAAGAAGGCAGATAAAACATATGTTAACGATGAGTTAAATAAGAAGTCAGATAAGGAATATGTTAACGATGAGTTAAATAAGAAGGCAGATAAAACATACGTTAACGATGAGTTAAATAAGAAGTCAGATAAAACATATGTTAACGATGAGTTAAATAAGAAGGCAGATAAAACATATGTTAACGATGAGTTAAATAAGAAGTCAGATAAGGAATATGTTAATGAAATATACCAAAGTTTAGTTGGAACAAAAAATATTGAAACTATTGTTGGCGACTTTTCTGTCAATGAAGAAAACAAATATTTTAGATGGGAGTTTGTACAGTCCTTAAGAAATGGTATACGGTATAAACTCATTCCGAAAAATAACAATGAAATGTATGTAAGCTATAAAAAGAATGATGGTACACAAGTTAAAGTTCCATTAGACAACAACTGCTACTTAAACTTATATGGAGACGAACAAAAGAAATATTTAAGAGTTTATGAAATGACGGATATGACATTGTCTAACGTAGCTCCAGCACCGTATTATTATGACTATGGTGTTGACGCACGTGTAGACCCAAAAAAGCAAACATTATATTTAGATTATTATAGATATAAAAGATATAATGCAATAGAAAAAACGAGAATAGTATACTATTATGAAGATGACAAAAATAAATATTATAGTCAAGATTTTACATACCCTGAAAACATAAGATTATATTATAAAAAATATTCTGACACAAACCAGAAGAAACCCGAAATAGTTACACTATATTTTAAGTTCAAAAGAGACAATCCTATAATATCTCATATGTTTGATTTAATGAACCCAGTAGGTTCTATTTATACATCTATGGATGTGAGAGGTCCTCAAGCAATGTTTGGTGTTGGTGCATGGGAACAAATAGTCGACAGGTTTTTGTATTGTGCAAACTCTTCAAAGGAAACAGGGGGAAGTAAAACAATTACGGGTGAAAATTTACCTGCACACAGTCACTACATAGATTTAAGCACATCTCAAGCAGGTTGGCATAAGCATAGATATTGGGATTGGTCAGGAATGACAAAAGGTAAAGGATATGATGTTAAAGATGATGTTAAATTTGCCATAAATTGTTACTGGAGTGACACTCAGGGAGAAGGAAACCATACACATCGCGTTTCAGGATATACACAAACAACGGGACAAAGTAAAGATTACATGCCACCTTACATGACTGTATTCGCATGGTATAGAGTTCAATGAACGCTCAATGTTTGTGAAACAAACTTTAGGAGCTCCAAAAGAGCAAACAGCATAATTTAAATTTTTATTTTAGTATAAATGAAGATTCTACCATATGGTGTTATTGGAAGAGATAAAGATGGAAACCCAATATTTGATCCAAAGTTAAAATTAAAGTTACTGACAAGACAACAACTTGAAAAGTTGCTGAAACCAAAACAGGATGAGAAAATGAGAAAATGAGAAAATGAGAAAAAAATTTAAATTATGCAATTTTATTTTTATCATAAATGACAAAATTAATTAAGCCAACTATTTCTAAATTAATGATACAATGAAATCATTTCATGGAGTACTTATCCCAGGTTCTTCACAATTAGCCGGGGCAGGTGTTGTGACTCAAGGTGGAACATTAGCGAATCCATTCAAATTATTAACTAAAGATGAACTTAATAAAATGATGATAAAATAACTGATACAAAAAATTATTTTTATCATAAATGAATACCCACAAGCTCAAAATTTACCACGAATCATAACAAGGGAGGAAATGATAAAAATGATGCAAGAACATGTTAAAAATAACAAACCACTAAAATTGAGAAAATGTGGTTATGCGGTAATGATGGAAAGAGAGATGTTGTCGAAGAGGAATAAAAATTAAATTTGGATAGAGTTTAAAAATTCATCTTTATTAAATTCATCTCTTCCAATCAATTTATTTATTCTATTAAATTCTTTTATTTTTGCTTCACTCAGTTTAAGGATTGAACGATAAGTTTCTAATTTTTCGATTATTTCTTTCCTCTCTTTATCGTTTTCAACCCCACCACATTGTGGCTTCTTTTTGTAATAACATATTTTTGATTTAATTCTGTTTAGTTTTTTTTATATTCATCGTCTGGACTCTTGACTGCTTCGTTGTCACTCATTTCTTACGAAATAAAAAAATTAAATATTATTTAAATATAATGGAGTAATAAAATAAATCGGAATTTCTATTAATTTATTGTTAACCTCAACTAATGCATTGCCGTTAATATATCTAACAAATTCAGCTATTGTGTCAAATCTTCGTCTTCTTTTTGTCATTAATTTATCAGTTTTTCCATAATCGAGATGAATCAAAACTTTATCCCCTTGTTTAAAATTCATGAGCCCCGAATTAATTTGTTCACGTTTAACATCATTTAACCTTTCCATTTGCTTTCTAATATATTCCCATTCTTTTGAAATATCATTTTTCATTTCCACTGGTTTCATGTTTATAGTTCTATGCCATGTATTATTGTAATAATATACTAACTGTTGTATGATGGAGTCATGATTTCCATCCCAGTATATCTGACCATTAACCCCTAACACATCTCTAAGAGTTCTCATTACCGCATCAACTATTTTATTATGAAACGTATATGGAGAAGATGAGAAGTAAAAATTAATTTGTGGGAAATAACGAGCCATAGTTGCCTGAAATCCTTTATCACCATCACTCTTTTTCATCTTGTTTCTTATATGATTCAATTTTATATTTCCAATACTTTTTCGTTAATTCAAAACTTGATTCCACATTTTCTTCTTCTGGATATGTTTCGTTAGGATTGAAGTTCTTATATGCTAACACGTAACGAATCATTGATGCATTCGATGATAAAGAAAGATTATGAAGCATGTCAATTTTATAAACAAATGTTTCTTCAATAATTTTATCAATTGGGTCAATCATAATTTCAACGTCTTTATTGCAATAATGAATAAAATATTCTAATCTATTCTTAAAATTTTTAGCATCATTGAGATATATTTGATAATCTGAATCGGATATTGTTTCTTGAGTTAATGCTGAATAAAATGAATCTTGAGTGAATGGTTCCACTTTATATAATTCATCTTCGTAATTCTCCCATGTGATGAATTGATAAGGGAAAAAGGATTTAACACGTGATTTATTGTTTCCGAAATCTTGAGTGAATTGGTCTAATGTCCCACCCGCTATATAATTTCTGATGTCAATAAATCTTAATTCATATGGACAGTTTGTTTTCTTTACAATGATTTGCTTAAATTGAGAAGAAGAACCTAGCATTGATTTTATTTTCCATTTTGCAGTGTTTAAATCACGAAGAATTAAATTTAAATCAAACTTTCCCGAATTAAAACCTATGATATTCACTTTATTGAATTCCTCATCTAGAAGTTCTTTAAATGCTTCCTTCTGTTTTTCATTTAATGTATGGGACTTCATTAATTCTTCATATTGTTCAATATTTGATTTAGCAACTAATGAACAGGTTGAAAATAAAAACTCAATCCAATCAGAAATAAAAGAATCACTCGAAGTTAAGCAAAAATTCCTCGTATATGTTTTATCGTGGTCTACGACCTCGCCGCAAAGCGGCTTTAATTTAACCGTTGATGATACCATGAATGGTTTTAAGTAAGCGTTTAAAGTTGCACACTCAGAAAGTTGTAATTCTTCTTTAGTCTCTAATGTTTCGAAGTCAAAAGTAATATAATATCTTGTTGGTTTATAATATTCCTGCAAATTGTGAGCTAATAGCCATTGATATATCTTCTGTTTCGTAATATGTGGTGCATATGGCTGCTGGGTCTTTTGCAATTGAACGTCTTGAATTAATCTTCCATTATTTTCTTTACATTTCTCACAATGTTTTAAAAATCTTCTTTGGTTTTTCCTTTCTGGATCATCACGGATAGAATATACTTCTTCTTTGCAAAAGGGGCAAACTTTATATCCTGTGAGTGCTTCAACGTCTGTTATTCTGTCAGCGTGAAGTTTTCCACATGGACTCTGTGTTAATAAAATATTTATTGTTTCAAATTCTGGATCTATCATTATTGAATCCACTAATGGAAAGTCTACCTTGTTAATGTCTACGTCTTCTGGTTGAGGAACACAATAATAGAAATCAATATTAACATTTAACATTCTTGCTAACCTCTCACTTTCTGATGAAATGTCAAATCCTTCATATGCATCTATGGCTTCATTTAAATAACTTCTACGAGTTTTAGGATTAACACCATCAGGAATGTTATAGAAGCGTTTAAATAACCTTCTACCTTCGGCTCTAATTTGATTATCATTCATTTTAGCTGTTCCATTTTTGTTCATTTATGTAAGAATAAAAATTAAAAAATAAATAAAAATAAAGTTTATTTTTTAAAGTCCAGGGCTAAAGTCCATAAAATGAATTAAGAACACATAAATTTTTATCATCTGCGACGTGACGAATACATTTTAATTTACTCAAGAATGTGTACCCTGATACATTAAATCTAATTCCTGTCTTATTTAATTTCACAACTTTGAAAAGGAATGTATGAATAGCTATAAAATGATGAGATGATGTTTTATGGGTTGCTTCCATTTTTTCTGAAATAAATGAATAAATATAATGTTTATAAGTTTTCATATCTTTTATGTTCTTAATAACGAATGGTATAGACTTTTCCACTTCATCTTCCTTCGGTGCTGTTCTTTCATATGAAACATTATTAGTATCTTCAACAATGAAACCACAATCACACAAAATTTTATATGTACCAATTGTTTCTTTTGATATTTTATCTAACAAATCAAAAACTTTATCAACACCTGTACATTTATTTAAATAATAATTTGTGTAAATATCATGGTCTTCTTTCTTAATCGTATTTGTTGCATATGTTACATTTTTCAGTGCTTTTTTGAATTTTTCAGAATCAAGAGGAGGTGAAAGTAATATACATGGATAATCTCCATCGTCAATAAATTGTAACTTATGTTTATGAATAAATTTTGTGCCTTCTTCTGAAAGTGTTTCATCTATTTCACCATCTAATAAATTTTTAGTAGATTCCAAAAAGTAATTTTTATATCTTTCTTCATGAGATTTTTGAACTTCTGATTCTGAAGCTGGGATATTCATTAAACCCTCTACTTCATTCTCATTATATTTTTCAACTTCTCTTAATTCCTTAATTTTTTCATCTATTTCATCTCTTATTTTTTCCAGTCTTTCAATTTCATCATATTCATCATCTTTAATCCGTTCTTCATAATATTCAGGGAAAACATCAGGTTCTTTAGGTTTTTCTTCTTCAGATGTGGGATATAAGAAATTTATAACATCATCTTTATTCATTTTTCCATCATAATCTAAATCATTTAATAACTCCGCGAATTTTTGACAATTTCTTAAATGATATTTATTAACTTCATAACTCGCCTCCTCTAATATATCCTTTATTTCCTCGTTTGTGAATCCCAATTTTTTAACGTCGTTAGTCTTGACACTCATTTTCATACGAATTAAAAAAATAAATTATTCAAAAAATGTAAGACATGAATTTTTAAAGTTTATTTTTTATTTTTTTTATTTTTTTATTTCATTATGGTAGTGAATCTTTCATTCATTATATGAAACTGTATAAACTTTATCTTTACACCTTTCATCACTTCCAATATATTTATATCTCAGTTTTGATTTAGTATTTTCATAATCATTAACGTTTAATAATTCACAATCTTCCTTTTTAAATAAATGTTTCACATATTCAGGATTTATCATTCTGTAATATTGTTTTCCTTTAAATCTTTGAATGTAAACAGGAACACCATCCTCTAAAATTCTATTATCCACTTTATCTGGTTTTACTTGTTGGGTCATTTATGTAAGAATAAAAAAATAAATTATTTTAAAATTAATGTTAAAAATTAATGTGTTTATTTTTTTAAAAAAATTATTTTTTATTTCATTATGTATGGGCTGAGTGTAAATGTCTTACAATTTTGAAAATTTTTTAAATCTTGATTTATTCAAAAACGTAAGAATAAAAACCGTAAGAATTCATACATTTTTTACTTCATATGTTAAAAAAAATGATACAAAATCGTTCAATATTGTATGAATTCTTACGTTTACAAAAAAAGTCACAAAACCCATCAATATATACTACTACTGAATTAAAAGACATAACTTGCATAAAAATAAAGGATTTAGCTAAAATATTTTAATAACTCTCGATTATAGATCCGTATTTTTCCCAAGTGAGCGGGGTATCTCCAATCCCAGCCCTATCGTCCTCCCAGTGTCAGTTTTCAATATAAAATCCAAATTTTTTTGAAAATAAAAATTTCGAGAAATTTTTCTAATTTTTTTTCTTTAATTTCAATAATTCAAAATAAATTTTGGAGTAAAAAGACACTATTTAATGAAATTCATATGAGTGAATGTGGATAAATACTCTCAAAACATACAATTTATCTATTTTTTCTTTATATTATCAACTAATTAGTGATAATTTTTTTTGAATCAGATTTTTTTTTTCATTAAAAACATAATATATAACACAACAATGATGCACACATACGTATCTACACATCAAAATATAAAGCTTGTTTTGGTCTGGGCATCCCAACCCAAAATTCTTAAAAAATTGAATAAAATTGAATACTTGGGGCTGGGATACCCATCCCAAAACCGAATTGAATTTTTTGAATTAAAGAATATATTTATGTATTTATAATATACATGTGATGTCTATAAAAAATACTAAATTCTAAAAAAAAATTCAATTTATTCAAAACGTATACTAAGTGATCACTTCATTAGTAGGATCAGCAATCCTACTAAATGGTGAGAACGCCACTAACTCAAAAGGGAGTCCTTGGAGCTCTTGATCTCTTGTCAGTAGAGTTCATAATGAGGCATGGCATCTACTGATTAGAGATCAGAGCAATCCTACCTTACCTTCAGGAGCTACAAAGCTCCTAATCGTTACGAGAGGGAGCCTTGGAGCTCCTGAAGCTCATCAGCAGAGGCTATTTACCATTTGGGCCTCTTCTGATGAAAGATGCGAAACACGTCTACGAACCAGGAGCTTCAAAACTTCTAATCCTTACTAAAGGGAGCTTTGGAGCTCCTGAGTCTCCATCAACAGAGTCCCAGATGGTAAATGTCCTTTGCTGATGAAAGATGCGAAACACATCTACGAACCAGGAGCTCCAAAGCTCCTAATCCTTACGAAAGGGAGCTTTGGAGCTCCTGAAACTCCTTTTACTATAAAATAGGACAGTTTTCTTCTGAGGTTCTCATCAAATCTAAGACTTCAGAAGAAAGCTGTCCTATCAATGTATACTTACACTCTCATGGACTACAAGTGTACAATTTTAAGGCAGAGATTATCCGAGGCCTCTCATCAAATGAGGGACCTCGGATAATCTCTACCTTAAGTAGTCAAATAACTTTTCTCACTATTTAGGAACAAAAGAACAAGAGTTGGAGTACTTTAAGGCAAGATTCTTCCGAAATCTCTCATCGAATGAGAGAATTCGGAAGGACCTTGCCAAATCCTTGAACGCCAATATCCTTGGAACTGAGCTAGAACCAGGGAGAAGTAGCATACTATAGAGCACGATGGTAATCTCGGAAATGCTTATATCGCCTCAAGCACAATATTTAAGAAGTCTAACTCATATATACAAGAAGTCAGGCTGAATAGATATTGTGCATATGGTTTGCAGAACTCTCATGATATTTCAAATTCATGTTATCCCAAAAAGGTGACACTTTGGGTGTATCGTCCATCCCAGGGATGCAAAAATCACATCACCTTGGATCGAGAGTCTCGATCCCAAAAATTACAAAGTATTCAAAAGTTTCGAGATATTTAAATTTTAATAAAATTTTCGAAATTTAATTTTTTTCGAAAGTGTCAAATAACGTATTTTCTTTCAGAAATATTTTCCAAAAATTTCATGTTCACGTTTATAAGCAATATATACCGAGTAATATTTTTTGGCGATGTCAGAATTTTTTTTGAATGGTTTACGATTTTTAACATAGGTTTATTCCTAATATTACTAAATGAATATTTTATTTATTACAATTTTGGTCGCTTAAATTCAAAAACCATAAAATTTTGGAGTACTTCTAAAATATTTTTCATTGATTCCGAATAAAATCAGTTAGCCTAAGGGAGTTTGCTTTCACATTTCTATGTGGATTACTTTCATTTATATTATTTATGAATTTACAAAAATATTCCTTGATATAATTTGCCAATTCTTAAATAAATGTTAAGTACTTTCTCTATATCAAGCTTGAGCATAAAACGAGTAAAATTTAGGAATATGACTGATTTTTAGATGTATATTTTGCCAATTTGAGGTTTACAATTTGTAAAGTGTCTCCAAACCGAATTTTAGAATTGGAGAAGATTTTTCTCCATACGAGATCCTTCATTTAAATTCGTAAAGAAACAAACTATTATAAAGAAAATTATATAAAAATATAAATAAAGTATTAATAAATCTATATGTTTATTTATATATTAAATTCAAATATGTCAATTCTTTTGAGTGGATAAATCTATCCTATATGTCGGGTCAGGTTTGAACGAATGTGCTTTGTAGAAGAATTTTCTCATTGTTTCTTTTGCTTCTTCAACTCCTTGTCCTGTTGTATCTGGAGTCAAGATTTTTTGCATCCACGCTGGTAAAAGTTCGTTCAAAATTTCGCTTTCAGAGTATCGTTTATCGGCCAACAAAATTGTGGCAAAATCGCTTTTAGAACTCAATATCGTATCAAGGGAAGCGATTACATTTCTAAGAGAATTCCATTTTATGAACTTTGTTGTTGGAAATTGGAAGTATTTGTCCAAATAGTCTGCTCTCAGCTCGACAGTATCATTATATGTTTCCATCATTGGGAATCCATAAGCAATAGCTGTTCTGCAATGATGGTTAGAGAGATCTAATGCATCTGCAACAATTCCACCGGCAACGCACATTAGAATGCCTCCTCTCATGTTATCTAATGATCTGTAGAAGGAATCTAAGAGAAGAGAAGCTTTCATTGGGTCAGGTTGTTCAATGAAAATCAATTTGTTGTTCAAAAGGTCAACCTGTTGGTTCGTGTTGCGCCATTTAGTGACAATGGTGTTCAATACCTTGAAAGAAGGGAAGAAAACGACCATTCCGTCGGGAGTTGCTTTGGATGATTCGATTAAAAGGGCCATGATGTTTCTAACTATGCCAATATTAGTTGTTACATCATTAGGAGAGCAAACCAATGACTGTTGGTCGTTGCCGTGGCTGATGGTCATAATATTTAAATTATAATTTCCTTTTTCATCGCGAGGAGAATAAACCATGCCAATCTGTGATAGCGGTTTGAATCCTAGAAGCACAGGGAAGAAGCCAGGAACCAAAAGAGCTGAAGAAGTAATAAAGAAATTCTGGAATTTGTCAGTTATCATCGAAAACGCTAAACTTGCATCATGACATGATAATTGGAGTGAAGCAATAGGTACATGGGCCTCTATAGGGTTCTTAAAGTCCGCTACAATCGAAAGAGACTCGTTGTAAGTGGCCAAAAGTGAACAAAAGTTGAAAACAGCGTAAAGAGGGGCAAATTCTTGTACTTGGTCGATACCTTCTGACGCTATATAGTACGATAGACGTGGTCCCATGAAGTAAAGAGCTAATGGTTCGGTAAATATCTCTTGATACATTAATGTAAGCAATTCTGTGGACGAATACTTGGTAAACGTCTGTTCAGAATCACAAGGAAGCAGATTAACAAGGAATTTAAGCAAATAATCAACTCTGAAAAGAAAATGATCCATATTCCACAAAGTTCCGCAGATATTTCGATTAGTTTGATGGGAGGGGACAATGGGGATCATGAACTTAGTCGAATAAACGTAGCCATCTTGTTCTGGGATCTTTACTTTCGGTCCTAAATCAAGAATATCTTGAATTTTAATACCTTTTGCGACGTTTTCGTATTGATCTTGCGATTTCTGGTCATTCTTTGTTGATTCAACACGCTTCTTCAGGTTGTCAAGCTCTCTTTTCGCTTGTTCGAGTAATGGTAAAGTTAAATACGAACTGAGATTGTCGCAGCAGACCTTATCGAGGTAATGGGAGTTGTCGAAGATGAATGATGCTGTATCTGGAAGTCTTTGGAGAATTCTTGAAGGAGATTTTGGATTTAATAATTCAGAATTTGAAATAAAGATAACTTTGAAGTTATGAAGGATAGCACGTGATGCGTAATATGGGCATGCATTGCATTCCTTGCAAAATTCATTAAAACTATCGATAGAGTTAATTCTTTGGTATTGATCAGGTACATTTCCAAAATAATCACAGTGGGTACGACTCCATGAGCATGTATTGTTGAAGCACAGGTCTTCGATGTCATCACTCTCTTTCACTGTTTTATTTATACACTGAAAATGTTTTGATCCTAAAGAAATAGCTGTAATTGATTTGTTAAATGGATCTGGGTCTGCTTCTCTTGCCTTAACAACTATTTGAAAAGCTTCAAAAGCACGCAAATATGACTGATAAGTGTCTGTAGAATAAACAATTGGGCCAATATCCGGATGTTTCGATAAGTATTCTAAGTAAATAGAAAATACTGCAATCAATTTGCCAATTCCTGGTGGAGTTTCAAAAACAAATGGACCTCGTGCGTCAAGTGAGAGTTTAATCTGTTCCATTAAGCTCTTTTGCTCAGAGTATATCATTCTATATGGAAATATGACTTGGAGGTCAACAATTTGGACTCGATAAACTTGTTTTTCGCCTTCAGTCATTTGCATCACTTTTTTTCAAAAATAATTTTTGGAAGAATTTGATCTTCGAATTTAGTTAATAAATATCTTTACAATTTAATATCATTTTAAAATTTCACTTTATATAGGTTTGATATTGGAAATTACATCTTGTTTTCCTTCAATAACAAACATAATCGCTACAAATCTAGATCGATGATCAACACATACAAAATATTCACTACTTATTTCTTGTTTGCCATATCTGGAACAGTTTTGTGAATGGATAATTTAATAAAATAAAAGGGTTATCAGAACTGCAAAAATGATAATACAATGTCTTCTGCTTGATAATTTGCGAAAGAGCAATCTCTAATAAAAACTATTCATGATAAATTCAACAATATTGAGAGAAAAAAAATTGATTAATAGAAAAAAAGTGCCCCAAGCCAGAATCGAACTGGCCTTCCATCCGTGTAAAGGATGTGTTCTAACCGATATACTATTGGGGCTTCACATTTTTAAATTTTTAGAAGTAACCTAGATAATCATCATTTCTTTTTATTTCTATTGCTCAATCGATTTTACATTTTTTTTTTAAATTATGGTTGAAATTTCAATTGAAAATCTAAGTATTAAGCGTCCATCATGGGGCGAGTTCGTCGAGAACTATATCACAAAAGAGCTTATGCCTCCTGTTACTTTAAATCCTTTTCTTGGCGATTTTTTAATCCATAATACTCCTTTATATAAAGTTTCAAACACAAATGTTTTGGATGGAGTCTGGAATGCTTTTAATGGTAGTCTTATTTCATGGCTTCTCTCAAACAAAGACTCAAAATTTATTATTCGTCAGGGCTTTGCAGGATTAAATCGTCTCCATAGATATCAAACTGTTCGTACAATTTCCATAGCAGATTACTTAGTTTCAATTCTCTTTACAAAGTCAAATCTTGGAATTCAATTTTTCTCTCTCGAAAACAGTAAAAAACGTGCATTTCGTCGTTTTAATCTAACGCTACAAAGAAATGGCGGAATATATAACGAAAAGAAACTTTTAATAAATACGATTACAAAAGCTTTCAATATGGACGAAAATAAAGATGGCTTTGAAAAGGAATCAGTTGCATCTCAGATACTTCAAGCTTCCACAGACTTTTATGATCAGCAAAATCAAAATTTACAAATTCGCAATAAAATCTTTGAAATTTTCGAAAAAGATTTCAACATTCCAGCAAGTTCGGTCATTGAATCATTAGATAATCAGCCAACAAGAAACGAAAACGGACTTGTTACTTTTAATGGAACTCTCACTGGAAAAATACCGATTTCTATTACAGCATTCTTACCTACGCAAAAGAGGATGCAAACCATTGACTTAATTCCATACTATTGTTCAGAATTTCTCTTTAATTTACTTCCATTCACCGGAACTTTCGCAAATTACTCACAAGCCATGAGAAAACGCCTCGAATTCTCAATGACCAAAGAAGCCAACGTAAGAATTCAATTATTAACGAAATTAGGTGTCAAAATCCAAGGATCTCCAGAAAAAATCCTCGAAAACGCGGATAAACATGACTTCCCATTTGAAATTCCTGTTCCTATACCAAAATATGTCAGTAAAAACATGATGATCACATCTCGTGTTCCATCTGAGTCTCCTAACATTATTTCCAAGGAATGGGTCTCCAAACTTGCTGAAGGAACTGCAAGAGCCATGTTCGACTACAATATTTTGATTCCAAACGTTTCAAAATCAAATATTATTTCCGAACATGGAAAAGTTTCATTATTTAAGTTCTCTGGTGGTGTCAGACCAGATCCAACATACATAAGGAATGCTTCAAAGCTCATTTCTTCAAAAATTACAAATAATATTTCTTTGATTTCTGAAGCAAGCAAAGATTTGAACATCAAATACCATAAATTAGAGTCATTTGTACACAAACCAAGACAAATTTCTGCGTTCTCTCTCTTTAAGAAGTATCCACGCGAAATTATTTGCTCTTCCGAGTTAATTAGCGGACTTATCAACAATGCACGCGAGGCCAAATTGGATGGTCAGATCTTTGAACCATTTGCCACAAGAATTTCCAAGATTGTTGGCGAATCAAATATTCAACCTGATAAGATCGTTAATTATATGAATGATATTGTTTCTAGAAAGCTCGAATAATTATATTATCTGTAAATTTTTCTATTTTCATATTTTATTATTTAAAATTATTTTTATTTGAAATGAACAAATTTAATATACAAGGCCAAAAGAGTAACAGGACCTGATGGAACATTCAGAGATGCACTCATCAACACTTAAAAAGTCTTGTAGTATTCGTCCACGAATTATTAGTTGATCCTAAAGAGCACAAAGACAGATCAGATGTCATTTGTCGGAATGACAGAAGTCACTGGATCAGTTATTGACAAAGGAAGAGTTTTGTTTGCCGAACCAAGAGACAAAACAACAAACAGGGAAATGAGAGCAAGAGAAAAATCAAAGAAAACAAGGCTTTGTCAGTCGAAGATCAAGCAGCAAAGCTGATCAAGATAGCAATAGTCCCCTACAACTTAGCACAAATGCACAGTGGATGGCGTCCATTTTGGTAATATTCAATAATTTTTATCTTAATATGAAATGTTGTTATAGAAAACAGCTTTAACTACCTTTATTGCATTATATATTTGTAAGCATTTAGAATTTCTAATTCTTGTTAATTATTTTGAGATATCATCAAAACTTGATAAAACATGGTAAAGGATATAAAATTTTATAAAGAATAAGAGAAATAAGAAACAATTTATTAATAATTCTATAAAAAATATAAAAAAAGTTAATCATTTGTTGTAAAAATAGAAACTGCGAAGTCCCATAACTTGGTAGTAATCTTATCTTCTTTTCTTTGTGGTAATGTTATGCTGTGGAGCTCTCCCGTGAAAGCGGAATACGATGGTAATTTATTATTGTCGTCTTCTATCATTCTTTGTCTGAACAAGTAGTCTGATTGTGCATCTTGCTTCGACATCCTGAAGTTTCCGCGTAAAAGATAGAAAAGTCTCCTTGATTGATCTGTTTGGAACGGAATAAGTTCGTCAACAAGGGATTGAGCAGGTTTCATGAATGTTGCCTGAACCAATTCTTTATTTAACTCATTGCCAAGCCATAAATGAGTATAAAATCCATTGTCCAAAATCAAAATTTTTCCTGGTCTGAGGGAAGATTCAGTCAAAGGTAGACGAATGATATCTCCTCCGTTAGCTACGAACTCCGTGACATCAGTAAGTACAGGACAAGCAGCTAAAGCTAGTTGATTTGGTGTCATTTGGCTCATTTGCATCATTTGAATGGCTCTTTCATCATAAGAGATGGACTGAGCGAGAGCAGTTGATTTAAGGATGCCCAAACACTTAATTAAAATAGTATTCAATGATTTCGGAAGGACAATTGAAGAAAATCTGTTTGGACTGCGACTGACGTGGATTCTATATGACATAAACATGGGTTTTAGTAACACCAGACACGATCCTTTAAGGGAACTGAACTCATGGCCGATTTTGAACAAATAAATTAAAGTATTTGAGATATATTTCAAAATTACGTCTTGATCTATCTCTTTAAATATATCTGTAAGAACATCTGTGGTTCTAATTGTCTTGTTGTATACAAATTTCCTAACTTGGCCGTCAATATCGTATTCAGTCACAGATAACTGGGAATTTATCTCTCCAGATGGATTATTTGGGTCTAAACCGAATGGAAATACAAGTGATTCACCTTTTGTGACCATAAATCCTGATGGAGAGTGTTGAGAAATTCCAATCGAAGGAAGAATTGTATCTATACAAGAAATACTGAAACTTCCGACGATTTTAGGTTGTAACAATCTATCTAGAGCTTCGCTGAACGAATAAAATCCAGGTTTTGTCAGATATTCGCATCGACCGCCAGTTTCAACGCAAAAGCGAGCAAATGTAGCACAATCAATGAGCGTGGTATTTCCTGGTGCAATTAGCATGTTGAGGGTAACGAGATTTTGTCTAAATTTATGTATTAATTCTTGAATTACTTCGTAATTTACTCCACGAATCGCTGCTCCTTCTGCATTAACGTTAACTGTATTAAAACAGTCTTTCTCAGCAGTTCTGAATGAAGTGGCTACAAAAACTCGACCATTATTTCCAACACTGTTAATTGCAACATTTAAAGCGGACATAATAAATGGACCACGTTTATCTGTCTGTAAATTATTAAATGGTTCTAATGATGGAAACTCTTCGTGAAAGTATTTTGGAGGAATTTCGATTTCTTCTAAATCTGGATAAGATGTGATTCCACCATTTGGTCCAATTACGTGCAAGCCCTCTGCGAGCAGAGCAACACATACATTCTTGCATTTCCCTTTTAATCTAGCCTCTAATTCAGGAATTATTGTTTGGATAAGTCCGTTTAAAGCAGAAGACGAGCAATCAATTATATACATAGATCTAGGTGGGGTAATCGTTTGAGTTGGTAATTCGCAATTGTCTAAAATTTGCATATTTTCAATTGGTAAATTATTCGACGTTTTGCAAAAAGCACATGTCCACGTTCTTGTATTCATATCAATCTTCGAGTGTGGACCAATATAAGCTCTGCATTTTGAGCAGGCGCATAAATTTGTTTGATTTAATGTCAAATTTTCAGGTACTGGATCAATAGCGATAGCAGTAGGAATATCTGCCTTAGATCGTACCTCTGGCGTAATTCCATAAAATGAAGAAGTAAATCTAATTGGCTGAGCTTCCATAAAATTCTATAAAAAAAAATTGTAAACTATAGAAATTGTCAAATTGACAAATTTCTACATAAATCAATCGATAGAAAAAGATCTCATGAAAATCAAAAAGTAGAACAATATTGGCATGATTAACCATATTTTCATGTTTTGACGAAAAGATATCCTAGATTTTTTCAATAATTATTGTAATATTGTAATATTTGGATGTATAAAAACCATGCTATTATATTAGAGTATAAACAGTTTACAAAACAAAAATAATATAATATAAAATTCTATATTGAGTCTCCTTTTTTAGGATAAGGAGCTCCAGCAGATTTAAATCTCTGTTTCGCGTAAGTAATAAGTTCTTTCATTGCTTGATCAGGAACTTCGTTCATATTAATCGATTGATCTTCTTCTTTGTGTTCAAAATTATATCCGTTTGCATCTAATATCTGTGTCATAGCTAGTACATCTGTTTTACTTGTTAATAGTGATGCTGCAACAGCAAATTCAAATTTATCATCAGCTGTAACTTCAATTTGTGGCAACTGTGCAATATTAAACCCTTCGCTATATAAGGGCGGTGGAGTTAACAACAATTTGTCCAATTTCTCGAAGTATCTTTTTGCATTTTCAAGATAACTTTCATTTGTAACGGATAATGCCTTTCCAAGTTGCTTCTCGAAGAATTTGTAAAGCTCTAATGAGAGAGCAGTGAAGTAAGCTCCTTTTCCATAATATTTTTTAACGTTATCAAACATTAAATGCATATCTTGATACCATTCGTCAGCATTTTTATACAGTTTTGAATTGATTTTAGTGATTATTGTTGATAAATCCATTGGAGTTTTAACAACATTGAAATAACCAGGGAAACTAGGGTCATCTTCTTTAATTGGATAAGAGAAATATGATCCAATATGATGATTTAATACTTGCTTTGATATAGATTGGCATTGGTTCATAGTTAATCTGTTTCCAATGATCATAATTTGAATTTTGTCACTTTTTTATTATTTAGTGCTCTAAAAATTCCTCAAGGATATCAAATGATTTTAAAGTATCTTTTCATATAATTAGCCATATTTCCAACAAAAGGTTTTCTGTATTATCAAGTTTAGTGTAATTATTCATCAAATCATATCAATATGATTGGAAAATCATGTTTTTCTTTAAATTGTTTTTGAACATTTATGCAAAACAAGTATTATCCTCCCAGATAGTGATTATAAGCAATTATGTTGCAGATAATAACAATTTTATCTCAGGAAAATTTTTAATAAATTGCTCATTGTAAACTTCAGAAAATTGAATAGATTACATATAATATCTCTATCATCAAAATTAGGCTTAACTACTTATTATTTGATCATATTTTCTTTGCAAAATCTTTCTTTGGATGAAAATATATAATTATCACAAGTACGTGATCTATTTGTTGCTAATTTTGTTTGAGGATATTTTTTTTCACTTTTAAATGCCCATTTTTTTCAGTAAAATCAATTTAATGCATAATGTGATTATGTAATTATGCATTGTTGGTCTACGAAATCAAATTGTCAAATGGCAAAATTGCCGCTAAGTGACAAAAGATTTAGAAAAAAAAATGTTTGTTCCAATTCCTGGCATTGTTGATTTCGCCAACTACCTTATTACAGATGAGTACAATGAAATTTTCCCAATTGTTAACATTGTTCTCGCTGTATTTTTCTTCTTTTACAGATTTAAGCGTCCATGTCCATATGGCCGCTTGAGACCACAGAACAAAAAGCTTGGAGCTGAAATTTCTCCTAAACTTGCATTCATGATATTCAATTTAATTCCATTTGCTGTTACTTTATACTTCAGAGCTTATTATCGTTACCTTTTCAGCGAAATACCACTTATCAACATCCCCATTATCTTTTGGTTGACAGTTTATCTCTTTAGAGGAACAATTTATGCTTTACTCCGTTCAAAATTTTCAAATCCATGGCCAGTCAAAACTGTCATCTATTTCCTTCTTATGAACATCTCCAAGTCAATTCTCTTCGTTAGGTGCATCACATTCCAGAATTGGGAATTAAAAGGAGCTTATAAAATTACCTTATGCGTTCTTTGGGTTATTGCCTTCCTATTTGGAGCCAAGTATGATATCCAGCTCACACTTAAGAGGTTTAAGAACGCAAAGGGCTACAAATTCATGAAAGGCGGCATTTATAATTTAATTACTTGCCCCAACTACTTCTTCGAGTTCTTGATGAACTTATTCCTTATTCTCATGATAGATAACGACATCTACAGTGTTGCTGTCTTCATTTGGATGCTTCCAAATGTACTTACACGCGCAGAAACTCTTCATTACTGGTCAAAGAAGTTCCATAAGCCAAACTACCCCAAGAATCGTGCTTCATTCATACCATTTATTAAGTTTGAATCTGTTTTGGAAGCTTTCCTTACTACTCTTGAATATGGAGGATTTTAATCAAAAAAATTTGTTCTTTTTCTTTTTTACAAAAACACTCTTTTACATACTAATAAATACAATTTTATTTCTAATTACTTTTTTTTTTGACGGACAGCATATTTTTTCTTATTAGTTGGAATATAAGCCTTTTAATATATTTCAAATATAGGTACGGGAAAAAGGTGTATTCGCCCCCAAAAATAGGGGAAGGAAAAGTTTTTAGAAAAAGACAATAACACCAATAAATAGTAAATATTATACTTATATTATTATTAAAATTTTGTGAATGTTTCTTTGTTGGTTCTTGAGAAAATCGAATTTTATATTTCAAAAATAAAAATTTTTATCGTCTTTTAACGTACATATAAATTTTTATTTGGTCAGTAAATAATAAAGATATGACCCTAAATTTTATACCATAGTATATGTATAAAATATGAATATTATTGGTATAATCAAAGTTCCAAAAAACTTTTTCTTCCCCTATTTTGGGGGGCGAATACACCTTTTTCCCGTACCTATAGATATACATCATCAAAAAATATTTTTTACATTCAATTTTAGGGCACCATGTGAAATAAGAAGTTTGGCGATTTCTTCACTATCATTATTTGCTGCAATATGAAGAGCAGTTCGTCCATCTTGATCTTTATCATTGATATTTGCACCATGTGAAATAAGAAGTTTGGCAATTTCTTCACTATCATTATTTGCTGCAATATGAAGAGCAGTTTGTCCATATTCATCTTTTTCATTGATATGTATACCATGTGAAATAAGAACTTCGGCAGCTTTTTTACTATTATAATTTGTTGCATAATGAAGAGCAGTTTCTCCAACGTTATTTTTTTCATTGATATTTATACCATGTGAAATAAGAAACTCGGCTATTTCTTTATTATTATTTTCTGCGGCATAATGAAGAGCAGTTTCTCCGTTTTTATCTTTTTCGTTGATATTTATACCATGTGAAATAAGAAGTTGGGCCATTTCTTCACTATTATTATGTACTGCACCGTGAAGAGCGGTTTTTCCATATATATTTTTATCATTGATATTTATACCATGTGAAATAAGAAGTTGGGCCATTTCTTCACTATTATTATGTACTGCACCGTGAAGAGCGGTTTTTCCATATATATTTTTATCATTGATATTTATACCATGTGAAATAAGAAGTTCAGCGGTTAATTTATGATTATTTTTTGCTGCATGATGAAGAGCAGTTTGTCCATATTCATCTTTTTCATTGATATTAATACCATGTGAAATAAGAACTTCTGCTGTTTCTTTATGATTTTTTCCTGCTGCATGATGAAGAGCGGCCTTTCCATCATCATAATCTTTTTCATCAATATTTATACCATGTGAAATAAGAAATTCAACTGTTTCTTTACTATTATTTTTTGCTGCAATATGAAGAGCGGTTTCTCCAGCAATATTTTTTGCATTGATACTTGCACCATTTGATAGGAAATACTCACAAATAGTTGGAATATTAAATATAACTGATTTAATAAAGCAATGGTAAATATCATTAGTTTGATCGAAATATACTAAAAATGATTCAAGATTATTATATTTAATACAATAATCTAAATTGATCTCTAATTGGTGTTCATTCATTAAGAATGTAACAAAATCGATGTTGTGCGAAATAATTGCATATTCCATGCATTCATAATCTGGTTTCTGGTATTTCAAACATTCACTCATGATCTCTTGATTTCTTCCTAAAAATGAAAATTTTAGACATATTTGAGTTATTTCAGATTGTAATTTCGTTCTTAATAACTTAAAACAATCAACTGCTCCATGGTAACAACATAATTCAAGTAATGAAAATCCAGTAATATAATAAAATGGATATATTTTGCGTTCGAGTGGATATAAATGACTTAGAACTCTTTGATCTTTATTAAAACCTTCTCTTTCAGTGAATTGGATGAATGCTTTTATGTCATTGTTCATAATTGCTTTGTAAATCGTATTTTCTGTATGAATGGATAAATTTTTTAAATTAAATTCTCCGAAATCACGAAACTTATCTAATTTAATTCCATATTCTTTATAAAACAGCAAGTTTGAAATATGTTCAAGATTATTGACCTCTGTGACATGGTAATCATCAGATATAAGTTTGGCAAGAGTTAAATATGACTTTGTATAACGATTGTTATACTTAATGATATCTAAAATGTCTTTCATAACCTTTACTGGTGGGTATTTCTTTGAATCGATCAATTCTGTTTTGATCAGTTTGTAAATTGAGTTTAAATCGTCTTCATTTTCCGTTTTCAGCTGATACAACGCATTATATATGTCGATGTCGTATTTAAATATACTTCGGACCTCGCTGTATTTAGTTGAGTTAACGTCTTGTTCAGACATTAAAAAATTTACCACCTTTTTTACACCTTTTGAATTGAAAATTCAAAAAGTGTAAAAAAGGTCGTCATTCTTTATGCGCGTTTTCAATAAAATTTTTCATTTTTATTTTGAATACTTCACAAAATTTTAGTAACAAATCGAAAAAGTGAAAAAGAATTAAAACTCATATATCAACATTTTACCACCTATCTTTAAAATCTATTTGGAGGAAAAGCGATATGTTATACATATGGAAAACAATGAATACAAAGATTTCTGAAGTAATTTATGAATTTTGATCTCGTTCACAGATATGAAATAGCACAATAATATTGAGAAAGTTGAAGCCATAAGATATTCTTTCGGAAACATTAATTTTTATCAAATCAATTTTAAAATTTTGCTTATTTAAGGATCTCTGCGCTTAAATTCCATGCACATAAATAAGTTTGTATCAAAACTTGGTTTTGAACATCCTACCTATTTCATGTTATTCTGTAAAATCAATAATTCTCTATGTAAATTTGTCTTTAATTGAAGACAGCGCATTTTATCATTGCCATTCAGTTAAAACCATTGAAATATATGGTAACATCACATCAATCGATGTAAATTCATTTGCAGAATGCTATAAACTTTGGAAACTCATTCTTCCTAATACTGTAACTTCATTTGGAAATAGTTCATTTTTTGATTGTAATGAGTTAACAAATATAGGGTATGATGGATTTATTTCAAAAATTGGAGAAAATGCATTCTGTAATTGCTATAATCTTACTTCTCTTTCTTTGAAAGGAGAAATAATCAAGATCGAATCAACATCCTTTAATAATTGTTTTAACCTCACATTGATAACAATCAATTGTAATTATCTGTCATTAGGTTTTTCAGCTTTCGGTAATTGTTATAAACTAACTAATTTTACGCATAATAGTTATATCACAAATCTTGGATGGTATGCATTTATTAGATGCAATAATCTTAAATCGGTAAATCTTACAGGGAATATTACATATATTGGACTATATTCTTTTCTTGATTGTTTGAATTTGGAAATCCTCATTTTAAATTGTCCTCTTATTTCAATTGAAGGTTCAGCATTTCATAATTGCATGAAATTGGAATCAATAGAATTTCCTGCAACACTAAAATCCTTTTGGAGTGATGCATTTTCAAATTGTGTCAATCTTTCAACTATTTTATGCAATGGAAATATATCTTCAATTGGATTTGCTGCATTTAATAATTGCTATAATCTTTTATCAATATCGTTGAAAAGTTCTAAAATTGAAATTGAATCTTATGCGTTTCATAATTGCTACAATCTTAATAATATATCATTACAAGCAGACCTGATTTCAACTAGTTATGTTTCCTTTAATAGTGGTTTTAATCTTTCATCTATTATAATTAATTGCCAAAATTTATCAATAGCTGCAGATTCTTTTTCCGATTGCAATAAGCTATCTAATCTTACACTTAATTGTCATATAATTAATCTTGGTCCAGCATCGTTTAATAGATGCTATAGTTTATTATCTCTAAATCTTACAGGAAGTCTTACTTCAATAGAAAATCATGCATTTGCTGGTTGCTTTGAATTAGAATCGCTTTTTATTAACTGTCCTCTTGTTTCTATAGCTGAGAATGCATTTCATAATTGCAGGAAATTGAAGTCAATTAAATTTCCTAAAACATTACGATCAATAGGTTATAAAGCATTTTGGAATTGTCAAAGCTTGAAAACATGTATTTTCAGTTCAGACATATCGATAATTGATAATGAAGCATTTGCTAATTGTTACAACTTAACTTCTATATCATTATCAGGGGATTCTATTAAAATCTCTTCAAATGCATTTAACAATTGTTACAATCTTGAGTCATTATTAATTAGTTGTAATAATATGTATATAGATAACGGAGCATTTTCTAAATGTTACAGCTTAGGAATCCTATCTCTAAATTGCAATATTACGAAAATTGGTCGAGGTGCTTTTTCTGATTGTTATAATGTAAAATCATTAATTCTTAATGGAAATATGACTTCGATAGAAGAATCTTCATTTTTGAATTGTCTTTTAGTTGAATCCATTGAAATATATTGTAATATCGAAGCAATTGCTACAAATTCATTCGCAAATTGTAATAAACTTTCAAAACTAATACTTCCACCTACAATCAGCACAATTGGAGCTTCAGCATTTACATCTTGCCACTCCTTACGATCTCTATCAATTACTTCTGATAATCTAACAATATCCGATAAGGCATTTAGTAATTGTTATTCATTGAAAAGTATATCATTAAATTCTAATATTTCAACAATTTCTAGCAAGGCATTTGATAATTGCAAAAATTTAACATATTTATCTTTCAAGGGAGGTTCTATTAACATATCATCGTATTCATTCACAAATTGCCACAATTTGTCATGCATCTTATTGAAATGTGCTTCTTCATATATGAGCTATCTCAGTGATTCATCATTCCAGAATGCAAAGAATCTTAAGTCTCTTATTTTATACGACAACAAAATTTCATTTGGAAATTTATTTGATAACTTAGAATCACAATTTACAATTTTCTATTATGGAAAAGATGATTTCGAAAATAAAAGTTCTCTAAGACTCATTGAGAAGAACATTGAAAAAGTTTTAACACATGAAAAATACACATCTTCTCAGTTTATAAAGTTCTTGAACGAAATCCTACGTGCTTATACAAGCAAATTGAATATTCAAACAATCATGAATTAGATGTAATTCTTGGTGATGCTGACACATTAATAATTTTACTGATCCAGTGATAAAATCCTAAGATTAAATATAAATACTCAATTTTCTTTATTGCAATTTATTTCAAAACTTTGAAATGGACTTTTAATCATGCTTGGCATACAAAGTGCTTATGCACAAAAATATGTGAGCAAAATAAAGTTAATTTTTCAAAGGGTTATTTTTTCCTAATGAGTGAAAAATAATGAAGTTTTATCAACACAAACAAAAATTTATTCATCAAAGATCTTATAAAATGCTTCCAATGTTTCGTCTTCTGAGAGTTCTTCTTCATAAATGTATTCAATTAACTCGGAATTTCTGAGAAACTGGTCTAATTCTTCTGATGCTTCTTTAATGATTGCTTCTATTTGAATCAAAAGTCTGCATGCGGATATAATATCTGCATCATGGCATTGTATGGATTCAGTCACATAATCAATGCCTTGTTTAAATTCTTCTTCAGTTAATTTTTTCGAGATTAAATTAATCCGCATTAAATCAAGAAATACAAGTGTAATCATTGATTTTGCATGAGATTTCATATTGTCAGATTGTAAAAGTATATTATTATAAATCAAGTGAGATTTTTCTTCATAATCCGGAAATGAATTTGAAATGTAATGATGTAGCAAGAGAATTGTATTGGAATAACTTAGATCTCTTTGAGAATCATTATAAAATGAACCCAATATAACATGTAAATAGAAATCAAATGGCACAAAACCTAGAAATGTGAGATTCCGTTTTATTAAAGCATTAAATATATTTGGATTGTAATATATTCTAATATCTCTATCAAATGATTCGATATCTGGTGTAATTGTTAGAAAATTAATTTTTTTTTCATCGAAATTAGAACTAAAGTACATGAGAAATAGTTTTTCATCAAAATCTGCTGAATTAATACAATTTAATAGCGACTGATAAAGATTAACTAGGCTATCCTCGAAGAAAATTACTCTAGAGAGAATTTGAAGTAATTTATCTTGAAATTCTGATGATTTATTCACTTGAGAGTATATTAATATTGACCGAGAAAGAGGGAAAGCCATCGGAGAATCAGCATTTCGTTCTTCTAACTTCTCGAAAATTTTATCGATGAAATTTCCCAGAATTTTTATGTTATTTGTAAGTTCTATATACCTAAATAAGAGATGGTAGACTTCTTCAAGATTCTCATTATATGTAAAAAAGAAATTAATATATTCATAAAGAATTTCTTCGGGAATATTTTCAACAATTTCGGAAAACTGTGAGAGATATTTGCAAATAAACAACAGTTTCGCTCTGAACTCATAAGGATGAGCAGGAAAAGTTAAATGTTGTATTAACAATTGAAAAGCAGCAAGATGTATTCCATCATATTGTAAAATAGGATTGCCGTTAGATTTAATCACCTTTTTTAATTGTGAAACAATATAAAATATTGTTTCTTCATCTGAAGCTAAAAATTGCTGAAATAGTCGATTAATTTCTTGGCTTGCATCACTCAGATCTTTTTCTGTTTCAATATAATTCAGTTGGTCCAAATTTGGACCATTTTCTTTATATTCATCATCCATTTGTCAAAAAATTAAACGTCCAGTAAAGAAAAAAAATGTCGATGTTTGGACCTGGCTCCACCATTGATTATTCTATATCTAATGATGACCATTATATGGCTCAGATTGCAAAACATGTTGGAGCTGATGCTGTTTTAAATAAAAAAACTCTTGTTGATATTATCACTAACCAATATTGCTTTCCAGATGATCAAAGAGTTTTAACGTGGAGATACTTACTCCATATTCCTATGAATGAACAAGAATATACACTCTTAGCATCTCAGCAACTTCATCCTGCTGTTCGACAATTAACATTATCACTCCCAATTCGTTATACTTCAATATCAAACAGATTATCACGCTTACTTTCAACTCTTATGTACTGGCATCCAGCACTTGCAGAATGCGATTGGCTTCCAGCTTTAGTATTTCCATTTCTCCGTGTTTTCGAACGTGACTCTCTAATTACTTTCGAAATTGTTGCAACAGTTATTATGAACTGGTGTAAAGAATGGCTAAACTTCATTCCAAATCCTCCAATTACTGTTTTATCAAGAATTGATAGAATTGTCGCCGCTCATGGAGGAAAATCTCCTATTTCAGTAACATGGCCAGCTCTTAGAAGCTTCTTCGGTGAAGTTGCAACAACTGAAGCTGCTTTAATCTTATTTGATAATATCATTACTTCTCATCCATGCTTTATCGAGTATCTAGTTGCATCATTTGCAATGATTAAAGGAAACAAGGTTGTTGACGTTCATAATTATAAAATAGTGATCAATCGCGCTCGACAATTTTTCGAAGAAGATGAAAACAAGAACTTAAACTTGGAGCCATTCCATCCTCTTCCTCGTGGATCATATCCAATTATTTCGATTGTCAAGAAGACACCGTTATGGAAAGAGCAAGAATTGGCAAGAATCAAGCTTGAATCAGAACAAGAACAAAAGAAAGATGAAGAAAAAGTTGACATTGAAAGAGAAAGTGCTTTAATCGAAAGAAGACGTCGTAACTGGATGGCTGAAAGAACAGTACTTAGAGAAATTGAAGAAGAACAAATGGCTGAATTCAGGAGACGCGAGAAAGAAATTTTGATGCGTGAAAATCAAAAGGAAGAATTGAATTTAGAAATTAAAAGAGAAAGACTTCGAAAGAGAAGAATAGAAGAAGAAAATGCAATGGATGAATGGAGAGCTGATTGTGCCAAAGTTCAAAACGAAATGAGACAAATTGTAGATTCAAGAAGACAAACTTGGTCGAAATGGATCAATACTAAAGAAAATGCTGCAAAGCTGGCTCACGAACAAGTCGAAGAAGAATTAGAGATGATCAGGCAAAGAGATGAAATGAGAAAACAAGAAATATTAAAGCATGACAAAGCAATGGAAGAAGGTGCAAGGGAAGAGCAAGAAATTCTAAACCTCGCTACACAGAGAAGTCAACAACTTGAAGATGAAAGATTCAAATTAAGAGAAACTCTTGAAATGGCAAGAAGAAAGAGTGCTGAGAAATTCTCTAAGAAAGGTGGAAGGGTTAGCCAAAATAACTAGTTTTTATTATAATTATTTTATTTTTTTGTTTTGTAAATTTTATTTTGTAAAGTGTCAAAAAATTCAGAAAAATGGAAGATGAAGAAGATAATGGTTTTCTAGTTCATATTTTCACAGGATCACAAAGTCCATGTGAGGTTTCCGTTCTTAGGAAGATTTGTATGAAGTATGGGTTAACACAATGGGATTTAATGAACGGATATCTTCCTTGGAGACAGCGAACAGCATTGCGATCAATGGTATGCAGGATGATTAAGAAGCAAGCAATTTCAGAATATGATAACATTCGCGCAGATCCACTGAGAATTCAAAAAGATAACGAAGAATTGATAAATAATCCAGAGAAATTAAAAGAATCTGGATATGTTTTTAAAGGAGGCTTATTGGTTAGTACAAAATGGGATAGAGCTAGTTCTGAATGGGAAAAAACAAGAATGGAAAATACTAAAAAGTATGAAATTCCTAAAGAAGAAGCTGAAACAATTAACATTCCATCAGTAATATCTGTAGATTACATGCGGCAACAATGTTTTAGACGTAGACAGTCACTTTTAATTTATCGAGCGGCGTTGATCGCAGAAATCGCTCGTCGTGAAGGTAAAAAGCCTGAAAGTTTAAATGTAGATGAGTTACAGATAAGATCCGGATGTGATGTCGTTATTCCAAAAGCAAGTACTAAATTAGAACCAGATCCTGCCATTGGTGAAGTATTTTATACACCCAACCTTAACTGATTATTTATACAATGTTTGTTAGTATTAAATTTGCCATGATATTCGATAATTTTTAAATTTATTGCGAAATTCTTTTACCTGCTTTATAATTGTATATAAAACCTGATTGTTATTTAAATAAATCAAATAATAATGTTTTATTAATATAAAATAAAACTCTACCTAACAAATTTTAACTTCTGGTGTATCAAGTACAAACCTAGTTTGAACAATGCCTCCCTCTTGAAGCTTAGCTGGCGGGGCGTGGAAAGCAGGCGCCCCATTCTCACACACATGGATATCTGCTTCAACAACTGCTGGAAAAGCATTTGGATTAGCAGATTGCATTACGAATTTCTGTGTAACAACAGTATTTGGAGGGAATCCTGCAAGAGAAAATTGGATCTGACCAATTTCTTTGTTGCCAAGAAGATGGTGTTTGTATAAGACGATTAAGAAATTACCAGTACCTTCATGAACAATATTAAAAGTCCAAGTATGGTTGATGTCATGCTTTTGGCTGGCTTTGAACTTGTAAGGATAATCTCTGAAGTACATTGGATTTCCAACGCATAAGACGAGTTCGGCTTTATATGTGGCGGCATATGTTCCCATTTCAATACTTCTGATTTGTATGTATAGCTTGTGCTGCTTATTCATCATCTCGAAAAATGATGTTTTACAGAATTGAAATTTTGTATGAATTTAAAAATTTTGCAAAAACAATAATAAAATAAAAGGAAAATTGATAACATGCCATATTCCATTGTTGTAAATTTAAGTAATTCAAAATGCGATCATACATACAAAATATTAAAAGTGTCAAATTTTTACTTTTATTGATCGTCTTTGATAAAATAGCATGTTATATGATAATAAAAAGAATATTTTATTATAAATGATAAGTATTTTTGACTGTTACTCTCTGAAAAAATCGAAAGCTATCAAATTATTCAATGATAATTTTCAAATAAAAAATCTTCAATATTTTTTAGACATGTTAATAAAATTGTAAATATAAATCTTCTTAAAATATTTATTCAAACGAAAAATTTTGAGGTTATAGAAGCTGTAGAATAACAACATGTCAATCTTAATGATTATCTTTTTATGAAGAAATCGATACGAATTCAATTTTTTCCCCACAATTTCAAAAATAAACCAAATAAAAGAAAATTTCATATATTCTAATTAACTTGGATATTTTATAACTATTTCTAACATCGAATTCTCATTCGATCACCTTTTTGAGTCAAAATCGTTTTCCGAAACTATTTCATATTGATTGTATATTTCTGTTAGCCATATATAGCTATGATAGTTATATAGTTTGGGAAATTCGATTTAATTCGCAAAATAATATTTAGATATGAATTATTCCATTATTCTATCAAAATTTTTATCGGAATTTGCATTAAAGCACGAAAACTGTATTGGGGTAAATTTAAATTTTCTCGTTTTTGTCAATTTGAATTTCGAAATAAAAAATGACTAATCTGGAGCAAGCATGAAAGTATTTCTACTTAATTACGATTTTTATTATGATTTACTCAATATATCTAATCTAAGATATGAAATTGATTATGAACCATATATTTTCATTAAACAATAGGAAAATTATATATAAATCCTTAACAGTTACTTTTTGTGATAGGGTATTTTGCGTTTCCTATCCTCCTTCTACAGCTCTAAAATTTTGTTGAATTCAGAAGTTCCAACATTTATGGAAGTGAAGAAAAAATCAAACTATTTTGTATTATGTATATATAAATAAAGTTTTTTATCTCTATATTAGTCCGAAATTTACACATTTTCTTCGAAAATATAGAGATCACAGTTTGTTTTTTAACCATTTACTTTAATTTAGCTGTACCAAATCACGTGAAATATAATGGCCTATATTATTGAGTTGTCTAGATTAATGAATGCTTACATTTTTTTCCATGAAAAAACTGAAATAATATATTGGATTGCACATTTGATTGTTAAATCCTAAAACCTTTCGATGTATTCAATCTTCACGGGTTGATTTGAAATAAATCTCATTCAATTTTCTGATAAATCATTTCAAAAATATAAGCTCTCAAATTATTTAGGAATGTTAATATATGCAAGGTATATGGTCCCTTTCGATTTGATGTGCCAAGGTGGTCGGTTGTTTCACAATTTTTGAGAATATGTCACATGAAATTTCGATACAATAAATATTTTATTTTATGCTAATTGCAATACCATTCCATAGTATTTTATTTTTAAGAGATGGATAAACCCGTCCGATTTTTCATGTTTTGAGAATATGACTTCATTTTTTTCTTCGGCATTCTAGAAGAAGACATGTCAGCTAACGACGGCAAGAAATACGCATGTGGTATCGAACTCGGTGGTCAAACAGCTTCCATCGCTATCTGCGAGAAAGTTGGCGAAATCATCTACAAGAAGAAGGGCATCAAGACCTGTGAGCCAATGACACCAGATGAGGCAGTCGCCAACATTGTTGCTGCTATCAAGGAGAGCGGCTACGCTATCGATAGAATTGGCATTGCCTCCTTCGGCCCACTCGATCTTTACAAGGGCTCAATTGGCAACACACCAAAGCCAAACTGGGGCTTCTATCCACTTGTTAAGAAGATCCAAGAAGCATTCCCAGATTGCAAGGTTTCAATGGAAACAGATGTCAACGCTCCAGCCTATTCTGAGTACCTCCACCTCAAGGAGCAAGACAAGTCAATCAGATCTGTCGGCTATGTCACAATCGGCACTGGTGTCGGTGTTGGTGTTTTCTGTGATGGCAAGCCACTCCACGGCAGAATGCACCCAGAGTGCGGCCACATCATGGCTGCTCGTGTAAAGGGCGACACATTCGAAGGCACATGCCCATTCCATGGTGCTTGCTTCGAAGGATTAATCTCTGCTCAGGCTCTCGCTAAGCGCTATGGCTGCCAGCAGGGCGAACTTCAAATCATCCCAGATTCTGATCCAGTTTGGGATATCTATATCGAGTACGTCGCTCAGTTAACAGTCACAATGTCCTATGTTTACTCTCTTGATGCTTTCATTATCGGTGGTGGCATCATCACAGCTAAGGGACGTGAATGGATCTTCGACAAGATCCTCGCTCGCTCTCAGCAGCTCATCAACAACTACATCCACACACCAATCATCAGCAAACCATTCCATGGTGCTGATGCAGGACTTGTTGGTGCTTGCGCTGTTGCTATTAACCCAGATGTCTTTGCTGTTGAGGAATAAGCAAAGCTTTATTTTATTTATGATCGAGTAATAAAAATTATGAAAATTAAAAAGAGAATAAAGTTTTTTATAGGCATTATTAGAATTCAGTGTCTTAAGAAAAAACAAATATTACTATATGCTGGCATGAAATTCTTAAATTCTTAAATTAAATTCAAATTTGGATGATAATACTTAATTTAAGCAAATATCTCTATGAATTCAAAATCAGCTCGAGGAATATATTTTCCCGATGAGGCATTATTAAATAATACATACGATGAATAAGGTAATTGAAACAATATTTCCTTTGTTTTATTAAAAGATAGCAATACTTATTTGATATCTAATACTTACAGTCAAATTCTCATTCTACTAGATAAGACGATGATTCTTGGATGTAACGGATGCGTTGGCATTTTCAAGATTTAATAATCTAATAATGACTCAATAATATATCTAGGTTTTGTATAAAAGTCATTGGTACAAAGTATTAATAGGATACTATGCGAGGAAAATTTTAATCAAAATACAATAAGTAGAGTTCGAGTTCAAAAACTAAAATTATATTGATTCTTATCTGTGTGTCATCTGGATTTATGGATGTTTTGAAAATATCTCACTCCCATTTTGAAATGCATTAAAAATCCATACAAATTCGGTTTTTAAAAAGAAGAATGATAGTGACATTACTAGTAATGATAAATTCTAGGGGAAATTAAAATTTTGACACAAAAAAAAATTGATGTTCAACCATATTTAACTAGAAGTTGAGGAATGATGAATCATTTCAAATTGATAATATCACATATTCTATAGTAGATGTATTTCGAAGAGAAGTTCGTGTTGGAACCGGAGAATATAATGAAACAGATCCTAATGCAGTTAATAAAACGTATTCCGGAGCATTATATATCCCTAACTTTGTGACATATTCTGACATTGTCTGGCGTGTTATTGAAATTGGCCAATGCTCATTTACCACATGCGATAATATCACAACGGTCCGAATTGGCTATAATATTGAAATAGTCAAAAAACTTGCTTTTCACAAATGTCATTATATTGAAAACGTTACATTTGAAGCACACAGTCGTCTTAAAACACTCGAATATCGCTCATTTTATGATTTGTATCATGTCAAAAGTATCGAATTTGGAGGAGATAGACTTGAAACTTTAGATCAATATGTATTCGGATATAACCTTGCTCTTCCACGATTGAGATTCCCTGCTTCTGTTAAATTCATTGATATCTCTGCAATGGCAGGATTGATTTCTTTCCAGAGTGTCGATTTTTGTGGTAAAACTGCTATTAATAAGAATGTATTTTCAAAAAATGAAGCATATATTCACTTCACACCAAGATCTGTAGTTGTTAAAGTAACATCTGATTATCAATCATCAATTTTTGGAATAGAAGATAAAGTTGTTGTTGATGATTCTATCAATTGTTATTTCCCTCATTACATTCGTGATTTCGATCTTCAATGTAGAACTATTTACAACAATAACGTTTATCACATTTCATATTCATTATACACTGTTTTCATTCTCATTTATGAATCATAAAAGAAACATAATTGCTTTATGTGGGGTTTTCTTGGATTGGGTTAAGAATTATAAATGATAAAATTATAAAAGATGGAGTTACAATATTCGGATATTCACTCAATAGAAAGAAGTAGCCACATAGAGGTTTTAATAACTATATTGGCAATTCCATTTTATTGAATAATTATCGTAAAAACTACATTTTAGTTGAACCTTAATTATTGAATGACATGATGTCAAAAAGTTGTCATTAATTCAAAAAAAGTAATACGGAGAACAATAAAAATATATCTATATAATGTGGCATAGCGTGAGATCCCTTACACTTCCAAAATAATTGTTTCGATTATCGAATAAAAAGTGACAATAAGTTTACAAATTCATTGTCAAATTTTATGAAAGTATTTTTCATTGAATATTAGAAAATTAATTGAAAAATGACGAAATATTCCAGTATGATAATATCAGATATTCTGTAATAGATGTTAGCAGAAGAGAAGTTCGTGTTGGAACGGGAGTTTACAGTGAAACAGATCCCAATGCAGTTAACAAGACGTATTCTGGGACATTATATATCCCTAACTTTGTAACATATTGTGACATTGTCTGGCGTGTTGTTGAAATTGGTCAAAGTTCGTTTGTCTATTGTGATAATATCATAACTGTTCGAATTTCATATAGTATTGAAATAATCAAGATGCTGGCATTCTTCAGATGTCATTATATTGAAAGTATAAAATTTGAGCCACATAGCCGTCTCAAAACGCTCGAACTACAATGTTTTTATGATTTGTATCGAGTTACAAGTATCGAATTTGGAGGAGATCAACTCCAAACTATTGGTTATATGGCTTTCGGATTTAATTTTATTCTTAAGTCTTTGAGATTTCCTGCGTCTGTTCATTTTATGGAACGTACTGCTCTTGAAGGTTTAAAACAAATAGAAAAAATCGAATTTTGTGGTAAAACTCCTATTCTAAATGATGTTTTCAAGAGATATAAGTCGCCGATTGATAAAACGCCTACAACGGTCGATATTAAAGTTACGTCTGATTATCAATCATCAATTTTTGGTATAGATGATAAAGTTGTTGTTGATGATTCTATTAATTGTTTTTTCCCTCACTCAATTCGTGATTTCGATCTTCAATGTAGAACTTTTTGCAATAGCATTTATAGCATTTACTATTTATTATTTTCATCATTCCTCCTAATTTATGAATCTTAAACATTATATTTTTTATAAGATATTCCAGGATGTCCAATGACCAATGAATTGAGTGCAATACCACCTTAAGATGTTTTAAAATATATTTTTATGTTTATACATATTCGAGAATTAATTATGATAATAATCGGGGAAAAAATTGTAGATTAATATTGTAAATAAACTGTCTACAAAAGAAATATCTATATATTATCAAAAGCAATTGAAAAAAAATGAAAATACAAAAAAAGTTGAAATGAATTGCCCTAATCTATATCTGTCTTCTTTGTGTGGATGATCTGCTTTATACCGGAAAAGTGACAAATCAAATGTCAAATTTTATGAAAGTATTTTTCATTGAATATTAGAAAATTAATTGAAAAATGACGAAATATTCCAGTATGATAATATCAGATATTCTGTAATAGATGTTAGCAGAAGAGAAGTTCGTGTTGGAACGGGAGTTTACAGTGAAACAGATCCCAATGCAGTTAACAAGACGTATTCTGGGACATTATATATCCCTAACTTTGTAACATATTGTGACATTGTCTGGCGTGTTGTTGAAATTGGTCAAAGTTCGTTTGTCTATTGTGATAATATCATAACTGTCCGAATTAGTTTTAGTATTGAGATAGTCAAAAGTCATGCATTCTTCAGATGTCGTTACATTGAAAGCGTTATATTTGAGACTGGCAGCCGTCTCAAAACACTCGAACTACAATGTTTTTATGATTTGTATCGAGTTACAAGTATCGAATTTGGAGGAGATCAACTCCAAACAATCAATGAAGCGGCCTTTGCATTTAATTTTATTCTTAAATCTTTGAGATTCCCTGTATCTGTTAATAATATTAAACGCACTGCTCTAATAGGTTTAAAACAAATAGAAAAAATCGAATTTTGTGGGAAAACTCCGATTATAAATAATGTTTTCAGTAGAAGTGAAGAATCAGATGCTATAACCCCTTCATCAGTCGTTATCAAAGTTACGCCTGATTATCAATCATCAATTTTTGGAATAGAAGATAAAGTTGTGGTTGATGATTCTATGAATTGTTTTTTCCCTCATTACATTCGTGATTTCGATCTTCAATGTAGAACTATTTATCACAAAAACATTTATCACATTTCATATTCATTATACACTGTTTTCATTCTCATTTATGAATCATAATCGGAACATTATATTTTTTATGTATATGCATTCATTTTTAATTTCATATCCTACAAGCTTTTAATATTTTAATATAATGAGCTTAAAAGATAAATTTAATAAAACTTTTCTTAGATGTGAACTCTTATGTTTTAAATACGTTTTGATTGTAAATATATTAACAACAATTAAATTTATGAATATTTGATAAATATTAATGAATCGATAAATTTGTAAATATGAATTTCTCATTGATCCTTAACTAATAGAGCCAATAATTTAATCTCATATATTTTGATGCCTCAAATTAGGATATCAGTTAATTATGATATGTTAGAAGGGAAAGTATATGATCCATTATCATGCAGAAGTATTGGTCAAAAAATCAAATTGGACAATAATGAAATTCATATATGCGAAAATAAAGATATTCTCACAGAAAAACAACTTTTAGCTATCAAAGGTACAATGGAAAATGCAATCAGGTTTTTAAGAAATACTATAAAGGTTCAATCACGTTTAGATCCAATTAAAATTGTTCATGACAATATACAGCAAGTTTATTCAGATACAGATTTAATTATAGTGTGTACCTATCAATATGTAGGTTGCCTTGCTGATGAAACAAGTATTGCAAATGATTATTATTCACGCACTATTTTAGCAAGGATTTGCTTCAATCCATTATATGTTCCAGATGAAGCTGTTGATGAAAGCGACGATAAAAATAGCTTTTTTACACAGTTCTACATGAATTTATTCATTCTCTTGGATTTCATGTGGATGATATCCATAAATATCATCCACAAGGAAGCACAATTCCATATAAGAATCCTCTTTGTAATTTAACAAAATATGGGAAAAATTACACTTTTCTTGTGACTCCACATTCTCATATCTTTGCAACAAAAAGATTTGGAGTTGAAATATTCGAAGGAGATAATGGAACGAGATGTCCATCAGGAATTGAATTAGAAGATCAAGGATCTGAAGGCATAGCTATGAGTCATTTAGAATATAGAACTTATTTTGGTGATTTAATGGTTGGCGTAACTGTTACTAACATAAATTCATTTGAGAAATTTACGGATGCATCAATGGCTGT